AACTTAATCAAAATCACTAACTCACGATTAAACTGAATCAAAATCACTAACTAACGACTAAACTGTATCTGAATTACTAACTCACGATTAAACTGAATCAAAATCACTAAACAACGACTAAACTTAATCAAAATCACTAACTCACGATTAAACTGAATCAAAATCACTAACTAACGACTAAACTGTATCTTAAGTTTAGTCGTTGTTTAGTGATTTTGATTCAGTTTAATCGTGAGTTAGTAATTCAGATACAGTTTAGTCGTTGTTTAGTGATTTTGATTCAGTTTAGTCGTTGTTTAGTGATTTTAATTCAGTTTAATCGTGAGTTAGTAATTCAGATACAGTTTAGTCGTTAGTTAGTGATTTTGATTCAGTTTAATCGTGAGTTAGTAATTCATTCAGTTTAATCGTGAGTTAGTAATTCAGATACAGTTTAGTCGTTAGTTAGTGATTTTGATTAATCGTGAGTTAGTAATTCAGATACAGTTTAGTCGTTAGTTAGTGATTTTGATTCAGTTTAATCGTGAGTTAGTGATTTTGATTAAGTTTAGTCGTTGTTTAGTGATTTTGAAACTGAATTAAAATCACTAATTAACACCTACAATCAATTTTTGTACTGATTTCTGTTCGTTGTATCATAACACCTACAATCATTACGAATGTTTGTTTTTTCCCTTGATTTCTTTGAAGGCTATAGATAAATAGTTTCTGTGTTTCTTGTCAGGTTGCGGCACTAATCAGTGCTGATGCTAATGTTTCTGAGACAAACACTTGGATAACCACGGAGAAACTGATTTCCGCTATCAGTCACACTCCATCACCCCCGGTTCCGAAACAGCTCCCGTGAGTACAGAATTACTGACAGTTATTCTTATACATGTTACAAAACAATGACAAAATTTTGATTTTAAATGCAACTTTATATAACTTTATTTAAAGGTGTGTACTAGATATTTTTTTGAATTTACTTATTTGGATATGTGTTCCAGAAGTTAAAATTTCTTTTAAGAAAAAAACGACCTTTAGTTTCCAAATAATAATAATAACAACGTTTTATTTCTGCCAACGTTTCGCCATTGCGGCATCATCAGGGCTAGTAGTATAAGAAGTCAATAGTTATTTCTAAAAATGTATGCAACACTGTGTAGACTATTATATGGAAATAATATTAGCTGCACATGATTAAGTCTTTTATCTAATACCAGCCATCCAATATAGACTTTACAATACTATACAGTGTTTCCTTGTATAACAATATCTATGTAATGACTGAGTCACAAGTTCTAGGAATGTCATAACAAAAACTTTTTAATTTCTTGTTCTCCTTTCTTCTGCATCTTTTTTTTTATTATTACATAACTCAAAAGCCAAAACAATGGTATCACCCAGTTTCACTGAGATGACATAAAGTTTCAAACGGAGTGTCCGCTTTTATAAGTATTATTAACTAGAAGTAATGTCAAAATCATAAAGGTACTGTACCAAAAGAAACACATACTGTTTTGAAGCATTCTGTGAATATGATATTAGATGGGGGTATTCTATCTCACATGTATTTCCTTTTACTAATAAACCCTGTGTATTTCTTGATTTTTTTCCTCTTGGTGCTATAGCATACTGACAAACACAGGCTGTGTTATTAGTATATGTTGTACTACGAAAAAGGTACTTCGTGGTAACAAAAAAAAAGGGACAAAGTCATACTGCATTAATTCAAATATTCAAAATGAACTTACATATTTCGGCAATTCCAACATTGTTTTTAATTATTGGAGTATGACGTTGACCATTTTTATTGTTTTATGTTGTATAGACTCTTTATTAGGCAGGTGGCAGCACTGCCTACGTAGGGATGGCCCGGATTGTTCATCGAAATGGTATTTTAAATATCTCCTCAATAGGTCACCAGAACATTACAATACTATACAGTGTTTCCTTTTATAACAATATCTTTGTAATGGCTGAGTCATAAGTTCTGGGAATGTTTATAAATATCATAATCAAAAGTTTGAATTTCTTGTTCTTCCTTCCTCTGCTTCATTTTTATTACATAACTCAGAAACCAAGACAAAAACAAATTTCACTAAGGTGACACGGTTTCAATGGAGTATCCTCTTTTATAAGTATTAATACTAGCACTATTTTTTAAAAAATCGTATTTCTAGTGTAAGCGATGTTATCATTACCTCTTGTAGTTAGCTTTTTTACAAATATCTGTTGTTCCTTTAGAAAGCTTATGTACAGGGTGAAGCAGGAATTACCAGCCAATTATAGATAAACAATAAATATTACAGTTGGAACCTCATTGTATTTAGAACTTGGTTAGAAATACAACGTTCCTATGTCTATTGAAACACTGTATGAAAAACAACAAGCAAACAAGTAAAGAAAACACCTTTCAAAAAGGAAGTAAATGTAGGGATGAGTAATATCCATCCTTCAAAAACAAGATAGTAGGGATGACATTTGCATCATCCCTACATTATAGCACAGGCACTCGGTGTAGTAGAATAGTAAGAAAAAATAGGATAAATTACACTTAATTGTGATTCATCAGTTATATATATTGTTAGTGTTAATTCGTGCCTGTGCTATTATGTGGGGATGATGCAAATGCCATCCCTACTTTCTTGTTTGCATTGTGTTTGAAGGCTGGATATTAGCCATCCCTACATTTACTTCCCTTTTGAAAGGTGTTTTCTTTACTTGTATTAATTAAAGCATGTAAACGTTTAGACTTTAAACAGTAAATGGCCTAGCCTATTTCTATTTAATAGAACAGCTTATCCCAATTTAAACTATGCAAAACTTCCAACCTAATATATATGCGTATAATTAGTCAAGCAACTTAATTACATCTAAATACAAATCATACTAAGTGTACTAAATAATAATATTATTACTGCCCTGAAAAAATTTTCGCCAACGCTATTTTTAACTTTGAGTTTTACTTTAAAGCTGCCCCATATAAGTGTTTTCCACACAATAATAGCACTGTACCATAAGTTTCTATAGTCAACCATTATGCTACAATGAATCGATATACACGTTTAATTAAACTTATAAGATATTATCGCCACCAGAGGGCAATATACTTCACATAAGACCATTTTCACCTGCTATATCACTGTAACTATCGCTTTAAAAATTTAAAATATTAACAAGTAATCTCCTTTTTTTTTAGCATTACTCCGGAGAAAGGTCCAAGCCCTACATCTGGGAGGTTGTTATCACCCAGTGACCGATCGTCTGTGTTCACCAGAGCGCCACCTGTTGAGAACGGGGACGTCGTAACTTTGTTGTCGGAATCGTCTTCCAGCAGACAGTCTACAGCTAGAACGGTATTTTGCTTATAAATAGTAATTGAGTGTTTCAAATAAATAGGTACCGATTGCACGTTTGTTGATAGAAATACTATAAAGGCTTTCATCATTATATATATATATAA